GTGCCGTCAATAAAGAGCGAGATGTTATGGTACCGCAGCAGATTGACCAATGCCGGGTGAACCCAGTCCAGAAGGCGTGTCGGTCGCGTGACATCTTGTCTATTAGCTGAGACAAAGTGAAATTGCAAAAAAAAAACGACACAGCTTCATTGAGTGCAAGTGAAAGCGGCGGAATTTCCACAGATCCATGCACGTTACAGCTGTAGTGAAGAGCACGAGCTCTGTAAACACGTCCAATTACTTGAGATTCAGACAATCCAATGACGACCTGCTTGTTGTCGTCCCCGTAGACTAAGCTTAGTAGCTCTGTCCAGATTGTATTGGCAGGCTGAGCAACATCAGCGATGGCCAGGCAGTCCGTCATTGCCTTCATGTCCTCCTTGACGTCGGCAAGGCCACTAGCAACAGTAGTATCCCGGCAGGTGTGAGGCCTAACAGCCGAGTAGCCCATAGATCCAATCCGAAACTGCCTTTGCACCCCGAACGAAACTTGGAGCATCTGCACGAAATCTTCTTTGAAGGCGACCACGCCTTTGTGTACTTGTATCCCTTGTAGTAGCATGTTGTTCGCTCATGGCGCCCAGGTGACCCCTCACGTGCGTCTGCCATCGCAAGTTCCAGAGTAAGAGGCGAACGTATGCTTCCTACACGACGTGCCAACATGCAATGTGCTACTAATACCATTCGATTTAAGATCCCGTAGCCGATCATTGACAGATACGGGTACCTGTTCCTAGAACAGATCAGTTCCGTATCTGTACACGTCAAGAGGTAACCTATGTATGTAGGATATGAATTCACTAGATGGCTGCAGTGCCTTGACGACCGTGTAGATCCACTGTGAATTCGAAAAAATGATTGTCAAGCGACTTATCGCACCCCATCACTAAGATGCAAGCTTGCTAGTTAAGTTCCTGTATCTTGTTTGACGAAGGCACTGGCAATTGGCCTTCCGGTTCCAGGCCCATCGTCTCTACAGTGTCATGAACTATAATAGTTTCAATTTCGCGGAAACAATTGAGAGGAAGTGAAGGTGTGCTATAACTACTAGGGTATCAAATTCCTTTGATTAAAGGTATTGCCTAGCGCGCTCTTCTTGGATAATCGTATTCGAAAATCCGTAAATATTTCAGAGCAATTATGGCAGGAGTTATTAGAGTTAGGGTGCATCCCACTAGTATAGTTGTAACTCCCAGAAGTGATTCTCCATCAATGAATTCTGGATTTAGGATCTCCCGAATTTGGTCAATACAAAATCTAATACATGTAAAACATGTTATGCCTTGTCATAAATAGTAATACTTTTAATATTTCTGAAATTGTCATGCATAACATGGATATAATTAGTTCCTGCTCTTCTGCACTAGCTTCCTCTTGTGGTGTACGCATTCGCGCTAGCTTATCAAGCCTGTAGTGGTGCCTTGAGCACTTAAGTCATCACAACCGATCATCAACTCGCGTAATATAACGCCATTTTTCAGACATCCATATTAATGTTGAATTAACAGAAGAGCCCTGAAAATACGAGGTCATCATTATACCGGGAAGGATACGGAGTATCCTGCAGGGCGTCAGAGACATTATATCGTTCCAAAATGTTGACTGAGTTGCAGGTAACATCAGAAAACCTTCAAGAAACTTTTAGCTAGGGTGACCTTCTTTCAAATTGCTGCGTGTGCCGCGTCAAGTGCTTTTAAACCTTGGATGATAGGTTAACCTTAAGTTATTCAGCGTAAGACGCTGAGGAACCCGATGCAGCTACGTACGGATACTGGATGCATTTGTCAAGCTTGGTGAGCCTTGAGTGAATCATTCACAGTGCAGGATAGCAACTAGACGACGTGGCAATCCCAGAGCGCATAAAACATGTCAAGAAGCTACAAACGGCAAGTTTTGCCTGACCTTAAGAGAAAAAAAAGTTAGATGGTTTTATCAAATTTGCAGTCCAATTTTCGAAAACGAAATTTGAATTTCGAGACCTCGCTTAGCCCTTCCGGTATGAGCGTAAGCGATCTAGTATGTACATGTAATACATCGTCTGAAGATGATAGTATCGACACCCTCAACATGAAATTAGAGTGTGGACTTCTCCTTCCTTCGTATGCGATTCTGTAGTGATATCCGCGAATACACTTTCCACAACATCGTCGTCGGTATAGGTATGGTGCACTTCTCTGTCAGTGTGTCTAATAGTTGGCGCCGTTGATGACCTCGGCGGTAATAGTGATCTTATTGTCCTGTTAGCGTGCACCTAGAAGGGTAGAAAGATCGAGTCAATGCAGTCATCAAAATTGGTTCATAAAAATATAACGTAGACATTGCCACGTAATGCTGTGCATCACGTAGGGCTATCGATGTACTAGTGCACTTACCGCCAGCATAGCGAGAAATGTGTAAAGTACATTAGCCTTCCGCCTTGATGAACAAGGACAACGGTCGAAAACAGCTGGCAATTTAACCAACAAATCTTACATGTCTTCTAGATGTACAGTTACTTGCTTGACCTGGTGCCGCGATGGTCTTGTGAATTCGTGCAGACTATTGCAAAATATGATGGATAAGTGCAACTACAGTAGGTTCGGCTGTGACTGTAGTACTGACCACTTTGTGATCGGTGTGGGTAAGTACATTCAGGGAGTGACTCATAAAACTAGGTACTTCGAGGTATTAAGTTTGTGCGGATATATTCTGTTTACAATGCTACCAAAGAACGTTAGCAAGATTTGATGTAATCTCGTGCTGTGCTGAAGACAACGTATGTGTCCTCGTCTTAGGTTGAGGACATGGAGAAGCTTTACTATTATAGAAAGCAATTGCGCAGTACGCAATGCGTACTGTACATGTATCCGGATGTGCTGCACGTGCACGATTGGAAGGATGTGTTTTTGATCGCGAATCACGTCACGACAGGTGTTGGAAACTTAAAACCATCGGCGTGAAACCGGATAGCATGACCGCTCTATTAATCGCTCCCTTCGCGACCCTCATTTCTCAGTTCTACCACAAGATCAAAACAATGGAAAACGAAGACTTGGAAACGCTGCTGGCTTTGATCGAGGAGTACGACGATGATTGTACAACTGACTCGAGCATTGATGATACGGAGTCATGGGTGGCGCACAACGTGCATGAACCCAGTAAACCGAAACATAGCGAGAGCGCGAGAATTAAAGCTGATAGAAAAGAAATACGCTGTCTCAAGGCCAAACTAGGAATTCCAGGGCGAAATCGTTCTCGGGATCGTCACAGATTGGAGCTTCTGGAGCTGCGCGTCGAGGCAGCATTGCTACAGCAGCGAGTTGATGATCTAGAGGAAGAAGAGCGACGAGTGAGACCGGGAGCAACGCCTTCGTGGATGGCACCTAATGATATCAGCTTGGCTGACACTACGAATGACAGCCTTTATGACGCATGGAGGGACCTGGCCAAAAAACACAAAATGCATCGTACAAACGCCGAGATCGAGAACCGAAATCTTCGCGAGCTTTACGCCCATCAGCTAAAACTTACTCACATGGTCAAGAAGCTTTTCCGAAAACAATCCTCCATAGAGTAAGTGTTACCTATCTGCTTGCGCGTCCCCTTTGTTACAGAGTTTTTGTTTTTCTTATCACTTGTATTCTGTTGTATCACAGAGAACAACTCGCGCACCACAGGGCAGCATCTAGCTATGCCAAGCGCCAAAATAGGTCGATCACGCCCCATTACTTGGGGTAATAGTTTCAAGATATATAACTCATAAAAAGGTTGCGCGTATTCAAGTGTAAATGAAGGGATATCTGAGTTATCATGCTTGTGGTGGGAGTAGCGAGCTCTTTACAACTTGGTGAGGTGGAAATTTCGACACGAATGTGGCAGAGAATATTAGTCACTGTCTGGAATTACCACGGTTTAATTTTAATTTGCAAAAGGCAATCCAACTGGCAGAGATTTCATATAGAAAAATGAAATCTCTTCCAACTTGCAATCAACCACGAGCTGAAAATATCGCCTCTTGATCGAATCTCAGTTGCCTATCCACAATGCGGCAGATCTGTTAGTACCTTTACGTAGCATTTGCAAACATGTGATGAGTGTTAGGGGTTACGCAGGCATTGACCTGTTCGCTTAAACCGTTCCTTATGGTGATGAATATTATGGAAGTCGACTCATCTAAACTCAAACTGTACACCTCATCTAAACTCCTGTGGAATTACCACATCCACTGTAGTGCCTTTAAGGTACTGCCTTACATATGGCATTCAAATGATTCATGTCATCCACGCACACTACACGCCAATGCGTCGCACTCGAAAACATGACACGCAAGAAATCTGGGGTGGTCCGAAAACTTCGTCATCAACAGCATACCAAGGCAGCTACGTGTGATATATTGCACGATGCCTGAGTCGCCACTTCCGCACACCTGTAAAGGATCAGGGCTGTTTCCCTATCGTGCGTTTTGCTCTTCTGTCACATGGTAAACGCTAGGATTATGTGGAATTGCACTTTTTCTAGAGAATGATGAATCTGTTGTTGTCACGCGTGGGATTCACCAGAAAGGTGAGTCACCTGACGCCATTCTTTTCTTTCCCGATTTTGAACACGATGCTTGACGAATTCAGCACCGAAGAGCTCAAGACGCTAGAGGCGGCGCTGTCATTAATCGACGACAGCGGAAATGATGCTGCTAGAAGTGACAACATGGAAAACAGCGTGGACCTCTCCGATCCACACGAAGTGGAGGCTTTTGCAGGCCCTGTGTTTCAAGCGAGCAAGGCGGAGGTTTGCAAAGACAATATCTGCTCTAGTCCAGACACTCAAGAAATTCTGCGTCTCAAGGCTAAGCTATCCGTACCAGGAAGAAACCGCTCCCGTGACCTTCAGAAGCTAGAGGTGTTACAGTTGCGAGTGGAGGCTGCAGCACTACTACAACGAGTAGACGAGCTGAAAGGGAAACGCGACACACCAGTCATCGCAGTGGCAACTGTAAGAGGCTTCCCAGTTGGGAATTCAGGGCTGATTAAGCGAGTGCGACTAGATGCGTGGCAAAACCTCGCGATGAAGCACAAAAAACTTCGGCTAGAAGCGGAAGCGGAAAACCAAAGCTTACGCGAACAGTATGCTAATCAACTCAAAACGGTAAGGATGTTTAAGAAGCTGATTTTGAAGCAGGCATCGTTGAAGTGAGTATCTTTGTGTTGCAATGTATTAGTTTCGGATAAACATCTTACCTTATAATTTACTGTGCAGAGGTAAACTTGACTATCCGGTGCAACCCCGCCATCGCCCAGCTTCGACAGTGTATTAATGTACTATAAATATAAGATGAATATATCAACTAATGCAGTGAAAGAGCGAAGCCTTATGGTGCAAACGCTAGAGAGAGAAAGCCTTCAGGTCGATTTGCACAAACCTTTTGAACTGCCTACAGTATAGATGCCAATCAAATACTCAAGGAGCAGAGGGCACAAAGAAACAAGAAATATGCAAACGATGCAGTAAACAGTTTGTTTATCACATTGGCAGTGTTCAATTTTGCTCCGGTACCAAAGCGAGTGTCCACTTGCTTATTCGCCCTCCATTTCTTCATTTACTGCTCTCATAGTAGCCAAAGAGCAGGTAAAAAAACCACGAGTGAATGAGATCCACTAACTTGCCAATTGCTTCAATATGCATTGAGTGTTTGTGTCCTGGTGCCATCACTTCAACTTTCTTTTTTTTAAGGGGGGAGATAACAGTGTTCTATTTGGGATTGTACCATCACTTCAGTATTTCTTTTTCCCAGTCTCACTAGCAAGCTTGAGTGTCACTATTCAACCAATATACACCTTTCAAAACCGTTGTAGTTCTACTAACTGTAAGTTTGCACTTCTACATTTACATTTTTATAATTAACTGGTGAAATCTCAAATCTAGCATTTTACGTAGCATCCAGTAAAAAAAGTTGTGAGACTCCTATCGCCATTAGTGCTCACAACTGTCGCCTTCGTTTTACGGCACAAGCTAGCCGCCAGCCCGGAAAGCGCCGATGCAGTTGTTTCAGACTGCTTAGTTTCGGAGATGCGGCTGTCACGAGCTTGCCAGTTGAGTCGAGTCGGATCGTTGGCGCTACTGGAGTTGATGTGGGCCAGAAGCTATCGAGGCAACAGTAATATGGCGAGACGTCAACAGTTCGATCATCGCGACGAGTTTAATCAAGCGATGCGTAGTGCAGCTCATCAGGCCGACCTTCACATGGTCCAATGGCTGTTAGGCCACTTTCCTGACATTCCTATCTCCGAAATGGTTGTTAGGGCAGCAGCTGCTAGCGGCCGCTCGGGGATGTTACAACTTCTGGAAGGTACCAAAACGCGTGCAGCTATTCCATGGACAAAGTTTATTCTGATTGTGGCCGCGAATTGTGGTCATTGGGGGGGGTTGTGCACTGGTTGCATGAGCGTTGGGATAGTACTCATGGGACTAGACAAGCCAACACCGAGTTGGTGCTAGCTGCCTTCGAGCAAAACAATGTAGAGGAGCTCAAGTGGGCTCTTGGAAATGGCTATGGGGTATGGAGGTCTTCTTACTGCAGTTTCTATGGTGGGGATTGGCGATACAAGACCGAAATGCTGCGTTATATGTTGGACGGTGGTCATGCTGAAGAAAGAATTGCTCGCGACGCGCTTGTTGAAGCGTCTGAAAAGGGTGATTTATCTTTCATGCAATGGCTGGTGTCATACATGGAGGCAATCCACGTTGACGTGGGCGTGGACAACATTTCACTATCCATGGAAAATGCATGTGATAGGGGCCATCTTGATATTGTGCAATGGCTACTTGCCTATCAGGATAATTTCCCAAGTGATGATGATGTAGTGGTTTGCATGGAGATGGCTATGATTAATGCAGCAAGGGGTGGGGCGCTAGAAGTGGTGCGATGGCTCTACGAAACGTATGCTACTGATTCAAGCATTGATCTATTGGCTGGTGTAAGCCAGATCCTGATGCCAGTGTACGTGTTGGATCAGCGATGGATGTTGCAGCAAGTTACGGTCGTCTTCACGTGCTCCAATATCTTTATGAAGCCGATGCTGCGTCGAGATGAATCGCGCCAGCTGACCAAACACTCCAGCAGTATCATCAAGAGTTAAAGTGCACAACTGGGGCTATGGACGCAGCGGCAGCGAGTGGGCACCTGGGCGTTGCGGAATGGCTCCATTCTACTCGCTCTGAGGGTGTACTACCGATGCCATGGATCTGGCTAGTCTTTATGGACGCTTGGAAGCTGTGAAATGGCTTCGCTTAAACCGTTCCGAGGAATGCACGACCACAGGAATTGACAAGGTGGAGAAATATTGTTCAGCTTCTAGTGGCAAACGGCTGGGAATTCTCAAGCGGATGAATGCAAATGGCCCCGACTGAAATAAATCTTTAACGGCGAGCTCTACTGAATTGATTGGAAGAGGGCAAACGAACGCAATTTGAGAAAGAAGCGTGTGGCCTTTATTGAGTTTTGCAATATCAACCGCATAAAAAACATTAGTGAATGAATACAGCACTGTGCTGACGGCCAACGGTCCCGCATTTTTTTTTCCCAACGTGACGCCTTCACTGTCCGACATGTCGGTGTGGTATAATTTTAAAAAGCTTTTTTTAATAGCATAAAAAAAGAAGACACACGAGCCACAATGTCAATGATTTGTTCACTGAACTTGCTGTCAATTCTCGTTTATGACTTCGGGTACGGTATTTTGGATCCTTCCGCATGAGGTCGCTCGTGGTAAGTTAGTGAATGTCTTTGCTGTGTGGATGTATTACTCGTAGTGGAATTCGACGATCCATCTGTAGGCGAACGCTTTGAGCGCCGTGTGTCCTCTTCAGATCGGCGTCGTTCCTTAAAACTTCGGGATAAACGAGCCTTCTCCGAACTTGCAGCTACACGAGAATTGTGCGCTGAAAGCAGTTGATTTGACAACTCCATCTGTCGTCTATGAGCTTCGATCTTAAACTCCCTCTTCTCGGCCTTTAGCGAGTTGATCTGCCGAAACCACGGAATAAAATAAATAAAATCATGGAAAATATACGCTACTAGCAGCCTTCTGCGCACCTTAGCCTCTAATCGAAGTAGCTTCTTCTCAGAACTTTCAACTTTGGCTCGAAGTTTTTGGTTCTCCAATTCAGCTGATGATAACGCAGTCTTCGTAGTGTCCAGTTCACGTTGCAATCGATCGGAGACGTGCCGTTGCTCCTCCATTCTTGCACGACTGATGGCCGCCCAGTCTCGTGCTGACTCGAGTTGCGCTACGTCGCGCCTAGCTCCTTGCAACGCACTCTCCAGCATCTCAATCATCGCACGACTCTCTCGATTTTTCATTTTAGCCTGATAACCATAGAAAAAAAATCCACAAAACACACTTTAGCGACTAGCTTGTACAGTTTCTGTAGCCATCACAATGCATTTACTCGTTTGCTGTCCTGGACGAGGTTCACCACCATGCGGTGCAGTAGATTACTCGGCATGGATGCGATCAGAGCCGCTGCGTATACATACACAACATCAGGCACCACGATCTCACCATTGCAGTTAAAATTACTACAGACCTTCCGCCTCGGGGAATGCGACGATCCTGTCCATGCAGACGGATTCGAAGTGCTTCGTCACGAACCGGAGGCATCTGGCAGCAGGTTGTATCAGTAGGTTCTTCAACTATTATCAATTTGCAATTTCAATAGTAATCGTTAAGCACGACCATCGTACAGATCCACTAGCGAGCGCACTCGATTTCTCCTGATTGACTGGTTAGCTTTGTCCTGCTCCGCTGCCGCCTCTTCCTCTTCAGTTGGAGGCAGAAGCGAACGACACCGACGCACGTGGATGGGCAGCGAAGCGTGTCCGAAGCCCTGGTAGCAGTGCGGGCATGTGGCCATCCCACGTAGTCTCACGTGCTCAGATAGATTGCCAGGCACCTGGAGCGCTTCCAGCGCTCGCACATCTTCGTCGTCCATAGTGAATGCCTTGTGGAATCGCTAGCAATTAAGGCGACATTTCGGATTGGACAAAATATATCAACCAATCAAAATCAGCAGTTGAGCTAACTTCAACGAGAGGAACGAGAATGATTGTCGTCGGCGTTGGCAGCTAAGCTGGACTCTTGTGAGCACTGCCGTGCGCGAAGTCATGAATTGGCTGACAGGCTCAAGGCGGTCAGCACTTGGGCGTGGAGGCGTAGGCGCCGACGGTAAGCGTTGGAGCGTCCACCTTGGTTGCGCTCGCCAGCAGAGAAAAGGCCAGTAGGAATTGTCGAGCTCCTGTCAGCACTTGGAGAGCGACGAAGGCATGACCCACAAGGATAGTTTGACCCGGTGCACGTCCGAGCCTATGACAATTGGGGTTAACACACACCGAACGCACTCGCCTCCTTAATTAATAGAACCTCTTCGCATGGGGAACCTGAGCAGCAAACTCACTGGATGCCAGAATCCGATGAATACAAGTAAGTCTTACAATAATTAGGCGCAGCGCCGATCAAAATCGCATCGTTTTGAAATGAGGTGTATGTTGGATGTTGATGCCACTTGTCACAAAGTAAGTCGCATCGCAAGATAAGCTTTATGGTCGGTAAACGCGCGGTTATGGCTCCCTCGTTATGAGTATTTTGCGTTTTCAATATTACTTTTTCCTGCTACCCTTACAGCATCGATTTTTTTCACTTTTAAATTGGACCCCAAGCACCCAAGTCCAGCATCCAGACTCAATCCAACCAGTACTAACAACTAATGCGTCAGGGTGTAGTTTTTGCCGTCCTGCTCCTGATTCGTTGTGGAGTGTCTTCGCCAGCTGCCGACTCGAATGAGGTCCAGACGCCGAGCTCTTCTCCTCAGGGGTTGCTGTCCCCAGCGGTGAAAACGTGAGATTCCTGCGAACTCGGGTCATGGGCACTGCAGGAGACGAGAGGACCGTCAGCCTCAGCCAGCTATTCGCCAAGAATTGGCTAAGATTGAAAGGAAAGATATTTACAGTCAAGAACCGGAGTACGATTTTGCCAAAGCCGACATCGCCGACATGTTGGGAAAGCCAAGTTTCAGACGAAAGATGTATATAAATGGAATCTTACTCGGTAAAGGACTTCGAAACCAACATCGGCCGGGACACCCTAAAGCAACAGCGAGTTTTCAATATGTTTGAAAAATATCTTAAACAACGCAAAGACTACAAAAAGTAGATTGTTTCTCGTAGTCACTAGGGAAAACAATGCTTTCGAAAACTCAACCAAGGTTCCGTTGTTTTTTTTTTCTCTCTCTCTTAACGCGGTGGACAAGACCGCTGCCATCTCTCGCATCATCTCTAATTTCATCGTTATCGTCTTTGGTGTTGCAAATTGTGCGGGTGAAGGATGGCGATAATGATTCCAAGATACTGCGTCTTTGACAAGAGTCTTTACTACTGCTTTACTCGATCTGGTCCTTGACCGGATCCCAGCCAGCGGTTCGAATGTACGAGTCGGGTGACGCCAGCTTGGCGACCTGCTCTGGCGAAAGTTTGAACTTGGCTGCCTCCAGATTGCTCTTAAGGCGCTCTTCGTGCACGGACTTGGGCAGCGTCACGAATCCGTTGGCGACACTGAACGCTACCAGCACTTGGCCCGGGGTAGCTCCGGTCTCGTTGGCAATTGACACCAAAGCAGCGTCATCCATCTTAGTAGCTCTCGCGAGCGGTGAATACGCCTCCATGATGATCCCATTGTCCTCGCAGTACTTAACCAGCGACGAGCGCATCATCCACGGGTGCAGCTCCACTTGGTTCACTGCAGGCTTCACGCGAGCGGTCTTAAGTAACTTCGCCAGGAGAGTTTCGTTAAAGTTGGATACACCGATATCCCTTAGTATTCCTTGTTCATGCAGGTCCTCGACAGCACGCCATGTATCGACACGTTCCTCCGGTGATCCGGGAGCGTGTAGCAAGTACAAGTCTATGTACCCAAGACCAAGCCTTTCGTTGCTGGCCTTGGCGGCAGTCAACGCCTTGCTATAGCCCCAGTTTGAGGTGAAGAGCTTCGTGGTAACGAAGATCTGCTCTCGCGGTATACCGGAGTCACGCACAGCACGACCCACATCCTCTTCGTTTCCGTAGATCTCGGCCGTGTCGATATGGCGATAACCCAGCTTCAGTCCTGTCAGGACGGCGTTGTAGGTTTCAGCTCCAGGCTCGGACTGGTAGACACCGAGTCCGATCATCGGGATACTGGCTCCGCTTGGAAGGGCCTTGGTAGGGACGTCGACGCTCATGGCTTTAGGTGATGTAAACGTGTTTACTTTATGCTTGCTCGGAAATTGAAGAGTGAGTTATTTTATTAGAGACCGTTGTCCACCCCAACATGACATGACATGTTGGAGTAGACAAACTGTGTTCCATCACGCGTATGTATGGGGCCCATAAACACACAAGTTGACGGGGCAACTTGGTTTACGGTTGCGCTAGTGATGACGTCAAGGCGTTTACGTGATTATGGAACGTCGACCTAAGTGTTAACGTAGTTCGTTCTGGTGTGGTTCCTAACTTTGGGCAACCTGCAGTGGGTCTGGAAGAGGCCAGAAAGCTACTTACTGAAATCAACAGGCTTCATTATGGTAGCACGGACTGATTCACGTATCGCTGTCGCAAGCCAGCACGTGGAAAGTGTTCATAGGCAGTAGTTTCCTAACCATTTGCTGCTCATCTGTACGAAGCTTCGCTCGTGACCAAAATGTCCTGGAATGATCGCTGCATAGCCTGAGCTTGCGGAAAAGTTAAAAGCGTCCTCGAGGGGACTCGAACCCCCAATCCCCGCCTTCGGAGGGCGATGCCTTATCCATTAGGCCACGCGGACAGCACATGAGCTCCAGTCAAGCTCGGGCAAAGCAGCGACGGCAAATGAACACCCAAGCAGAAACGGGCGATTCAAAACTACTTCGAAGTAGCTGCTAATTTCGTCGCAGCAAGCGCAACTAACTTACACACTAATGTCAATACAACTACATAGATCAATAACCAGCATGAAGAGCTCTTGTAGCTGTCTAGAAGTTCTTATTGCCATGCGCCTATATGAACAATATCTTGCGGTTCTTGGATTGTGTACACGAAAAGTATCTTTTTGCAGAATCCCCTAGCCTCAAATTTGCTGTTAAGTTTTCCGCTCTCTCATTCGCCAAAAATGAACGACCAGGTCAAGCAGCTGCAGAAGGAGGGCAATCAGCTCTACGCCGACGGCCGCTACGACGCCGCGCGTGCAGTCTACACAAAGGCAATCGCACTGTTGACTGCCGGAGACGATAGCTCTTCAGCTTGTGCACCAGACGGTGCCGACACGGCCTCGTGGAAGTCTCTGACGGCCTCGCAATTGCTCTCAAACCGCGCGCAGACCACAATCCAGGAACGCGACTTCGCTGCGGCGTTGCATGGTCCGTGACGGGCAATGCTCCAGTGTTTTTCGTGTATCTAGCATTTATACTAATGTGGAATAATATTTGTACTCTGCTAGACGCCACACTAGCGCTTAAGCACAACACGAAGAACGAGAAGGCTCTCCTGCGTAAACTCGTGGCTCTGGAGAACCTGGAGAGGTTCGAGGCGGCGCTGCAATTGGTGAATACTGTTCTGGACAATGGAGAAAAGAACGCACCCACAGTTTTCCAGTACTGCGTCGCAGCACGCCGTCGACTGCGCAAGAACCTGGCCAAAGACCGCGAAGTGGCAGCCAGCGAGGTCAAGCAGATGGGCAAAATGGTGCACGATAAACAGCAGTTGAGAATCAATTTCGGGTGCGTGAAGTGATGTCGGGCACCATCAGGTGTTTGATTTTCAGGAACGGACACTTACATTATTTTTTTTTCTTCGCGCTTTTTTTTTATTTCGTCGTAGATGTCTGCTGCCATCGCAAGTTCCGCTGGAGCAGTTTTTCGACGTGAATGTGAATATCGGCAATGAATTCGGTCTCTTCCGACGAGACTACGTGAAGAATGGAGAGAAGATTTATCTGCAATGTTCGCTTCGGAACAACAACGAGAAAAAATTCAAGTTAAAGTTCCAGGAGCCTTTGGACCCGTCGGACGTTGGCGACGCTGGTAGTGCTGATGCAAATGGCAAGTTGACGCTCAACGACCGCGGAAAGGCGAGCTTCCGCGTCGCTGTTGTGACTGCAGATGCATCAAAACCATCGAACCATTCGAAACCTCTGGCACTTCAAGTCCGGGCACACGAGTCATCGACTGCAACGTGGAATCTGTTCCCGGTCGTGTCCCTACCGTTTACTGTTGTACCTCCTGGTGGAAAGTTAAACGAGGGGATTACTGGAGACCTCGGTGTGCACTGCTGTCGAGCGGTATCGATGCCTGGGTTACAGCATGAAATCCTCCTTGCTGAGTCTCCTGGAAACCTCGGTACGTAGTCCTGTCTGTAGATCTTCGTGAATTTAAACTCAGTGGTTTGTGTTGCAATAGGTATTGGAGGGAAGTTGTGGGACTCGTGCTTGGTATTGACGCGGTATCTAGCTGCTCGACGAGAGGTTCTTAATGAAAAGCAAGTGGTGGAGCTCGGCAGTGGACTGGGACTTGTTGGCATCTTCTGTTCACTACTCGGTGCTCGCGTGACCCTAACGGACATGGAGGTACGCAAGCACCGGCTTGCTGCAACTTTGATCCAGCGTTCTCATCCTGTGATTCCGTCTTGATGCTTTACGTACATAGGAGGTTATTCCGTTGCTGGACTACAACATCCGCTTGAACTTCGATGAAGCGGACAGCTCTGCTAAAGGCACTGTACTGCCCGTTGCCAGAGCGCATCTTTGGGGAGATCCACCGCGCGATCTGCCATTGCAACCGGACGTGATCGTGCTCTCGGACGTCGTCTACGATCCAGAAGGCTACGCCCCGCTCGTGTCATCGCTAGAAGCGCTCGCAACTGCACCACAGACGCTCGTGCTGATGGCGCATCGCTCTCGTAACCCCATGGAGCACCAGTTCTTTGAACTCCTGTCGCAGAGCTTCTCGTGCGAGCAGATCGACTGGCTTTCCACCGAGAAGATCGCCCCGAAAGCGTCTGCAGCTGGCGGTCCACCAAGTACAGAACAAGCTCTGCAAGACGTTAAAATTTTTGAAATTCGACGGCTGGCAGCGCAGTGACCGGCTTCAGATGAACGTTCTGGAGGCACTACCGGACTGGTAAAGGCTTTGGGGCTGCGACGTCAGAGATGTGATGGGTGGGAGTACAAGAGCAACGAGAACAAACACGCAAGATGTATATTGTCGATGCCACGAAAGTGAGACGAAGTTAAAGCAGAAAAGATACTAAACGGTGTTGGTCAGGGCGCAAAGAAGCAGAGGAGGTGACCGACCTGTCAGTACATAGAGCGTGAAGGTTTCGATGAACATGAATAAGAGGGTCGTTTCAATGGACCAGTGTACTCATTGATCGATTCCGGCTCTAGTAGTTGATTTTCTTGCAGGTACAGACAACTAGCTAGGACTTGTCGCGGACAGTGTGGGAACCTTAAACCGGCTAATGCTCGATCGGTTGGCCACGCACGCGTCATGACTCCCTTGACCGAATCTTCCATCAAGGTGCAGAAGATTTACAGTGACTTGCACTGAGATCTAGTGGTCCGACCAAAGCAACCAAGCAACGGCGTTAGTCACGGTTGTTCCCTTGTCGGACTAATCTTTGAAGCGTGTCCAGCGGTTGCCGAGGTTTTCTCGAACGCTTCCCGAATTTTGTGTTGCTAACTGCTCGAACAATTGATAGAGCGCAGTTGAAAGCTCCGATGACTCGTTGTAAAGCTTAGAGAGAGTTACGATCGTCAAAGACTGGGCCCTGCTGCCCCGCTTTTCCGATGCTCGCACACATTGGAGCAAGAAGGGGCTTGCTGGAGCACCGTTAGGTCGCGAACGTGGTACTCCGAGGTGCCAACAAGTTCAACAAGTTGATGTAGGTGGCAGAAAGGATGTGCAGTGTTCCAACTCTTGTTAGTTAGTCAACAGCACAAGGAGCGAATGGCATCGGAAGTTGACCAAGCTGTTGTGCAAGTACGATGGGGAGTAGTTCCTTGTTGTTGATGCGGTGGCACCCCAGAGCACGAGCTGGTTCGACTCTTGTAGGTGGGACGCAATCTCCGCATCTTTCATCCCAGCTGCGGGAAGCACCAGGTGGAGCAAAAGCTCAGTAGAGAGAGCTTGCCTCCAGCTGGAGCTTCCAGATGCCGAGCAATGTCGATCAAGCATCCCGACAAAGAATTAGCGCGGTGTGGCAGCATTTCACGGCAGAGACCACGAGCATGTCTCCAAGACGTCACGTCGGTGATCTGCAACAAACCACGACATATCCCACAGCCCATGTGCACTTTTGCCAGGGAGTCAACGCTGTTGCCAACAGTGAGGTCAGACAGGTTCGACACTGCTCCATGCAAAAACGGCAACTTTGCTTCAGCTACGGTGATGGCAGTGATGGCCGTAGGATACGGGCACAATACTTGACGATAGCATATACCTCACATATAGCATGATTAACAGAAAAGTGTTTCTTACAAAGTGCATTCACTTTTGGCATATTGTCTACGATACAGCATAGCTGCAAAGTTACCGCTTGGCCTGTCTATGTGTTTCGACCGTTACGAACGTGGTACTCGGTTGACATTTTTGGTGCCACGAGACCAGCTGTTTGTGTGCCATCTTGTTTTCCGGCAGGCAGGGCAATCAAAAGCTCGTCTCTGGGCCGGGCGTTCAGCAAAACTTGCCCCGCTTGACGTCGTACACTGTCCGTCGCGACCGGGTTTGCCCCGACCGGTGCGCCGGCTGAGTGGGTCAACGGCTCCGGACATTACGAATGCTGGATTTTGTCCGCCCCGACCAAACGAGGCACCTCCTCTTTCCTCCTTCACTCGATCGAGGGACGCTTCTTGGTGGGACTCTCGACTTCCCCGTCTCGCGTCGAATTCACGAACGCATCGTCCGACGCAACGAGCGTTTGCGGGTCGGAGCAAACTCATAGACAGTGCAACTAGCTCGGGCTTGACCTGCAGAGGCGCAAGTCAGTCACGCACGCAGGCCAGCCGGCCCGCCGCTATCAGCGATAGTATCACGGCTGTCTAGCGTTTGTGCCACCGGTGCAACCAGACACAGGAGAGGGGCAGCAACAAGAGGAGAGAGGGAACAGCGCACCGAGCTGCTCATTCTCGAATTTGACTACTGGAGAACAAAAGACGTTCTCAGTTTTACAAACTCTTACCAACAGCCAGGCACCGGTCACCAACACACAACCGACCAACTCGACACTTTTTGTCTACCTTTTTTTTTCGGTAGCAACCAGATCACCAGATCTACAGTACCAAGTCTCAACACAACACGACAGACAGACGCCAGCGAGTCAGTCTGTCCACTCAAGCTTTCACCTCACAAGTTCAGGATAAACCAGAAGTTTTCATGTCTTTCGGAATGGCCGAGCGGCATCAGGTGCGCGCCCACGACTCCAAGCTCGACAACGCAGAGGAGAAGAAGGCCGACCAACACACCGAGCACAAGAACACCCCCGCCAACGACGTCTTGGACGATATCGATCTCTCGACCCCCATCATCGAGCTGGATCGCAAGGATCTACTGATCGTCAAGGACGGCACCGTTCGCGTCGCCGAGTCCCTCGACCGTGAGCAGCAGCAATTCGACGCTAACGGAGAAGTCGTCAAGGCTTCGGGTACCTGGACCAAGGCCGAGCACGAACGCTTCCTGCGCGCTATGGAGACCTTCCCCAAGGGTCCATGGAAGGCCATTGCCGAGATGGTGGCTACCCGTACGGTGCGTCAAACGCAGACACACGCTCAAAAGTATCGGGAGAAGCTCGCACGCCGCATGCGCGGTCTCCGCAACCGCAACGGAACCCTCCAGACCCCACCGATGACGGTCGGTATGGTCGCGGGAATGGGCTACCATCAACACGTCTCGCCCTACGCCCCTCGCGTCTACCAACAAACTCCTCACCCTGGTGCCATGGGCTACGTAGCCCCTGGAACAGCTCAAATGGTGTCTGCCCCAATGGCCTCCATGGCGGCCAGAACCATCCCATTGGCCCGAGCTACTTCACTACCAGCTATGCCCATCCACCGCTCGTCGTTTCACCACCACCCTACCACCTACGCCTCCACTCCCATGTCGGCCTCAATTGCCATGGTGAGCTCGGAGTTCAGCCAACTGAGCACCTCTACAATCTCAAGTGCGTTCATCGGAAACGCCTCCTACCCTGCGTCGTGGGAAGCCGAAACCAAGCCTACCGTGCCCGACTTCGACGAGTCCATGGACTTCCTCATGGATGTGTACTCGTCCAACCCCAACCAGATCAACACGGCGACATCGCAGTCATCCGGACTGAACGTGACACCCACGGCCTGCATCCCACGCACCCCGCAGACCCCCACGCCTTCGTTGGCGATGAAGCGACACCCGGGCTACGGATTCGTCCAACCACACGCCAAGCACTTTACCCACGGTGTCAACAGAGAGCAGGGCACGAAAGGCGTATAGTTCGACTTGAACCACTTAATTTATTCACTTTTTGACGTTCTAAATTTCGTTTTCTTCACTCCTGGCCTCAACTAAAGAATCGAAAGAGCCAAGTGGCCAAACTACCGAAAGAATTGACGATAACCAGCGCGTCCTGTTTGCAGAACTCTACGTCGAGTCGCATCATGTTTACAGGATGCAGCGGAATTGATGCTACCTACTGGACCCAAGTTTTCGTTTCATCGGACTTAACCTCTGTAGCGATGCAAGCAGCACCACGGTAAACTCGTCTAAGCGGGATACTCGTCATGGCGCCAGCGATGACTCAACACCGCCAGGATGCTCAAAAATTCATATCATCGCCATGTGCTGCGCCAGAACCACTTGGTAACACCTTCGCCTTGCTTGCCAGAAGCGCGTTGAAGTGTCGGTCCAGTACATTTCGAAACCATGAAAAAAACAAATTCTTATGTTGCCTAACGATTCTTTTCGCAACTTTACAGCCCAGCACCACCATCCTCACATTAGTGCGTCAAAGACACACGCTGCATCATGAGCTCCACACCCGCCGACAAGACCAATGCCGCCCGCGCCCCGCAGCGCCTCACACTGGAGGAGAAGGTCTGGTATGACCGACGACGGAGCGATCTCGAGTACTGCTCGGGCGTTGGAGGCGCACTGGGCGCCGCTGTACTCGCCGGCGTCACTGGTAGTCAAGCGTCATGTCGATGATTTCATTTTTTTTGCCGATAATTCTCACTCTGTTGCTGCTTCTCCCGCTGCAAACTAGCCCTGGGTCCATTCCCAAGACGCACGCAATTCCTCGCCATTGTTGGAGGCGGAATCATTGGCGCAGGCACCGGTTTCCTTTATGCAGACACAAAGGCACTCGAGCGCGTGCAGGACCTAAGCGCCAGCAGCAACCTGCGCAAACAATACCAGCAAATGTAAGCTCTACATCGACTATAAACGAGATAGATCGGAGAACTAATGATATAATGTTATTGCATACAGTGAGTTGGAGAGAAAAGCGGCCAAGACTTCCAAGTAAACCTTAGGCCTTGCACAAAACAATAGGGAGAAGCTGCTTAAGTTGCACAAAGAAGACACAAATGCTCAAAAGCCAGCAAGTTCCTATTATAAACGGGGAAGACACGCTTCCATATGCACCACAGATTTATTCCTCCTTCGATCTGCTCCTTCAACTTATTTCTCTTTTTTCTTTCTTGGTCAGGTTTCTGGTCAAGTTTTTTTTATCGGATCTTGCTCAGTCGTCATACTGTTAGAGCTGTTGCGAGTCCTTGATCGTCTGCTTGAACGAGAAAGGGTGGAACTTGTGTCCGTCAGCCTTGTAGAATTTGTTCTGGAACTCCACCCAGTGCAGACGCAGCGCGTGCAAGAAACACTCCAGCACATCCATGGCCAGAATAACTCCGAACGTCGTGGCTGCGAACACTGCAAAGCCGATGAAAATGGCGATGAACGAGTCGCTATTGATGGTGGACAGCATCGTCTTCTCCCAGAACACCGTGGCCAGCTCCGAGTGCGCCAGACTCAAGGCCCACAGACGCAGATAACTGGCCGTATTCGACACCATTCCCAGCACAAACTCAATCGTTTCAATGCCCTGATGGATCACCACTTCGCCGAACTCGAACTCTTCGCCATGCCCGTGACCTCCGCTCGAGTTGCCGTGGTGGTGGGACACCAGCCGCTCCTCCGCTTCGTCGTCAAAGTCCACGTGGTGGCTCACAGGCGGAGCCGTACGATCGTTCTGGATCTTCAAGTAAATAGGCTTAACCAGCAGCATAGCGGGCACCGACACGAACGCCATCATCAAGAGCGTCTGCTGGGTCTCCAACTGGCCTTCGTACAGCGGATCCACGACATTGGTAGGGGCCAATGCAATGTTAATCAGCGTGTTCACTAGCGACGGCGGACGGCAGCCAGTGTGTTCGCCAGCGAAGTTGTAGGGACACACTTCGTGCTTCATGCGCTCTGTCCAGTCGATACTCCACTTCATGACAATCAGCACGATCATGTAGCAGAAGAGCGACACAGCGAACACAATCTGCGGCACAAACTCGAAGAAGAACGTCGAGTAGTCTCGGAAGTACAGGTTGTTCCAGCCCTTGAGGAAAATACCAAACGTCATCTGTACAATGCCGAAAATGACCGAGATCTTCATCTTGAACGAGTTAAAGAACAATAGCTCGTTCGACGACGTCTTCCAGACCGGATCCAGACCCATAGCGTACACGTTGTCGCCAGCAGAGACGTCCGTGGCGTTCACGTACGTCATCTTGCCGTCAATCATGTACTGCGCCTCGCATTTGGCCTCGCGGTCGTGCGATTCCAGACAATCCGGATACGCGAACTTGGAGCCGAATAAATTCAATGGCAACGAGAAGAAATCGTTGTAAATGAGACCCGCGTAAATGGCGAACGCGCCCATCATGAACAGCATGTAGCGTCCTCCATAGATCGACGCCGTCATCTCTCCCATACTGCCCGGTTGCTCCAGTTTACGCTCAGTTAGAATCAAATACAACCCAAACAGCAGCACACAGAGACCGTGACCGATATCTCCATACATGACGCCGAACAGGAACGGGAATGTCACGGCCGTGAACACGGACGGGTTCACTTCACGGTATCGAGGGCAGCCGTACGTCTCCACGAAGGCCTGGAAGGCATCCGTGAACTTGTTGGTCTCAAAGTAAGTGGGTGGAACAGGCCACGGCTTGGGTACAGTATCCACTAGAGACGGCATGGACTTGTCGTCGGCTGCTGCGTGAGCGCGAGTGACAGCACGACGCACACTTGGCAGCGCTTCTTTAATGACCCAGCCTTCAGCACGCAGCATACCGCTCACATCAGCTCGGAACATATTGAGTGCATGGTACGTGGCCTTCTCCTGTAGCACCGACCACTTCCAGGACTCCAGCGTCTCGGCCAGATCGCGACACAGCAGCACACAGCTCTCTCTATTGCGACGTAAGATGTGACTGCTTTGATTTAGCTCTCCAGCGTTGCTCTGGATCAGATGAGCGATGGCAGCACGGTCGTCCATGGGCGGCAAAGAGTACAGTCTCGCGTGGAAGGCGTCGCAAATTTTGCGGAGCTTGTTTTCGATAAAAGTCGACTGGAAGAAGATGACGAAGGCGTGCTTGGTGACTGGCTGGCCGTTGGTGGGGTCTACTAGAGGCTCTTCAATGGGCGAGAAGCGCGTGAAGCAGTTGCCACGAGTAGTACGGAAGATCATCCGCTCGAACTTAAGCCGTTCATCAGCGGGCACCACACCGGTGACGTTGCGGAACCGCAACGACGAGGACTCCTCTCCAGCAGCCGTGCCTGGGGATGTCTCTACGAAGCTGTAGCCTGATCTGGATGCCGTACGGGAGTTGCGGCGTGCCTGAACTTCCGGAACTGATAAAAATAACAGTAGAATTTGACAATAACTTAAATATAACAATAATAAAAATAAGACAAAATAAATAAAACGTACTCTCGATCTCGAAGAACTCGCCAGCTCGTGAGATGATCTCCTGCAGCTCCTTGCGTTCGTTGTACTCTCTCGTGAGCTTCTCGTGCATGGAATTGAGCTGCAGAAGCTCCTGTTCCTTGTCTTCTAGCAGTCGTTCCAGCGTATCCAGAGCTCTGGCCGCCGTGTCTTGCGAGCCGTAGCGGATATCGGCCGAACCGGCCAGGAACTGGTCGATACTGCCCGCGGGCTTAGGAGATATACTGAACTTGGCCAGCTCCACCTCAAAGTACCGCAACTTACGCTCCATTTCGTCGCAGCGCTTGACGTAGTTGACGTAGCGGCGCTGGAACGGCGTGAGCTCCGGGTTCAGATCGGTGAACTCCAAGACGCCCAGATCGCCCAGCTTCTGCACGCAGTCGTGGGCCGCGTCCTCGTTCACAATGAGCGAGATGTACTCCATCTCGGCCGAGCGGAGCCACTTCATGGTTACTGAGCGCTTAGATCACGGCTGAGAGGGGGGATATTCGACGGAGAAGAACACGACCAGCGTCGACTGAGCTCGCTCTGAGGGGAAGCGGAAGTGATGCAAACGGACGATGCAGCAACACCACGGGGCTAAGCTTAGCGCAGAGCTCTTCGAGTATGAACGGGCTTTTTTTAGGAAGGGGAGATCGGATTTAAAGATACGGATTAAGTACGAAATCCTAAAAATAAGATCGCGTTGGACGATTGTGAATCGAGGCACTGAAGCGGGGGAGTCAGGGATAGTGACGAGAAAGTTGAAGCTTCTCCGATCATTGCTTGACGTAAGAATCGACAAGTTAGAACACTCAATTATCCGAACACTAACTCCTGGCGTTCTCTTCCGTATTCTCACTCCAGCATTGAACGTTACTCCCCAGTATGGTTTTAGTCATCCGCCTTGAAAGACCTCTCTTGCTGCAACTTACTGGTCGAAAATATCGACGTACCAGCAATTCTTCGGGAAGTTGATCTGGCAGACCTTCTTTTGATGACCATGATGGTAGTTTGTGTATTCGCGCTCTGATTCAGGCTTGCTGCCTTCAACCCAGATGATCGAATCATCAGACCCAGAGCCATCGATTTGATCGAGCTTGCGCTCCTCTGATCCGACGTCGTTCACGCCACGCAGGCCACCACTGGCCATTGCGCCAACAGAGCTGAAGCTGGCAGCAATGAGAGCAAAGGTGATACTAAACGAGGTGCGCATGTTGAATGCTGAAGATGTCGATGGACTTGAGTTTTACGTTGCAAAGTGGCAAGTGAGAACAGGAGGTTGGCAGTTGTAAAAGTGAAATCGGGCAGTTTTGACAATCGGAGGCCAACTTTTAATCGAGGTGGTATTTTTTTCTGGCTGCTAAGCTATCGAATGTTAGCGTGAGCGGCACATCTTACTTGTTTGAGTTGCGGTCACAGCGATGTCATCGTTAGGATGATGCATTTCTCCGCGTCGAGTAAGCTCCGGAAGCACCGACGGCTCGTCTTCAGCTTCGCAATGATTTGTGTTAATTTGCTTGGGCTTATCAATCCTTGGTCTGTTGACGATGACGAGTTGGTTTTGTGTAACACGACGGAACCCCGTAGCATCCGCGAGTCTTCCGCAGCCGAAATGAAGGATAAAGCAGCTACCAAAATCATCACGACGAAGAATTGCTTGGTCATGGTTGGCATGATTCTTAGCTGGTTGTGGTCTTCGGAGTAAATTGTCGACTGGTGCTTTATTGCTTCGAGGCCCACCACCCTGTATTTGACGTTTCAGCTTTATCAGATATCATTTTTTTTATTTTTGTTTAAGTAGGACACTCCATAGTCTGCATAGAGCACCTTGGTGACATCTTATGGATCCAGAGCATCACGACTGAAACATACGAGTTTCACAACAGTGAAAACGCATACTGCTGACCACCAACGTGGTGATCAAGCAGAACAAATATATTCTATAAACCGCTTTGATGCACTTGCAAGAAATCAGTATCTTACCGTGCTGATCGTTTTGAGAATAAGTTAACAACCGCACTCATTCTTCTTTATTATTTTACGAAAGTGAGCTAAGTCCAGTACGTTGCTGACAATTGTGAGCACCAAAACTAAGCTGAAGATGTTAGGAGAGAAAATGTCAACACGAAGGAGTCAAACTCTTTTCCATCTTAGTATTAATAACTTTTAGGCAAATTAGTGAGTCAGAGCTGCTATCAACAAATCGCAAAAACAAAAAACGAAAGGCGGTGTTTTGGTTGCCAAATTGGTGATATTTTGCGGGTTGTTGCGACTCACTAACTTTGCACAGAGGATACCGCGTAGCGTTGTTTGCAGGGGGTTATCACGAGTTACGCGTCACACAGATAAAATGCAACGACTACCATTATTCCAATCACTTTAAACGATCTGTCCAACGCCACTGGAGTCGAGCCAGCGGGAGTTTAATGCGCCGAGTCGGCTGCGTAGACTACTCCAATAGCCCCTCGGATCTCGTCCATGAACTTCGCGATAGCCAAGGACTCCTCAGGTGGGTACTCCTCGCACTGTAGTTGTCCACTACCAATTGCCTTGGTGACCGTCTCCGCTTCGTAGACAAGAGCTTCCGATCCCGGATAATTGAACGGTGTAGCAATGTTCGTTGACGGGGTTGGCCACGGAAATTGCATCGTCTTGGTTTGTTGCGTGCCATCTTCGAGGAACTGGGTGACGGTGACCTCTGTGGCACAGTGAGCAGGAGCCGGGATGCAAATTCTGCCTTTGCTGCCCGTGATGGTGACAGAGTTGCCCAGAGTTGCCAAAGCCGTGAAATTTATGGTGCCGATCCGATTGCCACTGTATTCGAGTGTGGCCGAGCCGTATATATCGGCCCCACCCGAGCTGGTTTTGCCAGTGGTAGTGATCTTCAACGGCTCCGTACCGAACACCATCGTCACGAACGACAAGGGGTAGATTCCGATACCGAGCAGCGCTCCATCACCCGAAGAACTGCGAAAGTTCGCTTCGTTCTTGGAGTTCACGTACGGGATGCCGATATCTCCGTGGACGTGGTGAACATCACCAATGTTTCCTTCAGATAGTAGTTGCCGCACAAACTTCAGGAAGGGAAAGCAGCGTGTCCACACACCTGGAAATAATGGCAAAAAATTGCAATTAGTTATGGCAACAACGAAAAGATTGCCACAATTTTTTTTTTTTTTGCCATACCTTCCATGAGGAAAAGCTTTTTCGTCTTGGCCAATTCAACCACTGATGCCGTCTGCTTGGCGTTCATTGTCATGGGTTTCTCAACCAGCACGTGCTTGCCATGATTTAGCGCCAGTGTAATCTGTTCGAAGTGCACGAGGTGAATGGTGGCGATATATACCACATCGACGTCTCGGTCCTCGCACAGCTCTTCGTATGAGCCGTACGCGTGAGCAAAGCCTGCAAAAAAAAAATAGAGATGCGATTCGATTAGCTACATTAAAACATTCATTCACCGCCCTTGATGAACACACCGTGAGTTTTAGCAAACTGCTGTGCAGTTTCAAGCGATCGGGCTGCACAAGCCGACAGCCTCGCGGTCTCGCCGGCCATCCCTTTCAAAGCATTGACGAAATCATTGGCAATTTTGCCACAGCCGATGAACCCCCAGCGAAGCGGAACTTGCGAGTCGGCGCCCATTGATTCTTCTCGTTGTCCTCAAAGCAAATGCAGAAATGGACGGATCCGGTTGAAATCTTCGACCCGGAGACACCATCGAAACGCAATGCTTGTCGCGAATAACTTCAAGTTGGACGTTAAATCTGATTCGTGGTTGAAGCTGCTTTGCGATATTTACCGCCACTGGACTGCCATAAAAAAAAACAATTAGCAAAAATAATTTGAAGTTAAAAAAACGCATTTTTTTTTTTTTGCATTGACAAATTCGCAACTCCAGAGCTACAGATTTGCACCACTATCTCGAATAATGCCAGTTTTGCGAGGAAGTGCCACTGCAAAGGCCCTACTTGGCGTCCGCGGGGTAGACGAGGCCCAAATCCTTGCGCACCTTGTCCATAATGGTCATAATCTGGAGCGATTCGTCCAGCGAGTACTCCTTGCTCTCGGTCTGCTGGCTCTGGATGGCCTTCATCACGGTCTCCGCTTCATAGCGGAACCCCTCCGAGCCGCCGTAGTTAAACGAAACTCCGGCAGCAGGCGTCGGCCACGGGAACTGCGACGTGCTCTCCTTCTGCGTGCCGTCCTCAAGATATTTAACCACACGCACCTCCGTCGCCGTGTGGGCGGGCGCTGGCAAGTGGATGCGTCCTTTACTGCCAGAAATGGTGACAGTCTCGTCCGTGTCGGCCAACATCGTGTACTCGACCGTAGCGAAGCGCGAGTCGCTGTACTCGAGCGTAATCGAGTTGTAAATGTCGACCCCATTATCATTTAGTTTGCCAGCTGACGTAACCTTATCAGGCTTGGCACCAAACACCATTGTGGCAAAAGCCAATGGGTAGATACCGATGTCCAGGAGGCCTCCGCCGCCGAGTTCATTGTGCCACATTCGGGCATTGTCAGCGGCAAATTTGATGCCAAAGGACGCGTGCACGTGGTGCACGTCGCCGATCTCCTTGTCCGCCAATAGTTGACGCACGTGGCGAATGGAAGGGAAGAATCGCGTCCACATTCCTTCCATTAGGAAGAGGTTTTTCTCACGGGCGAGGGCGATGGCGGCCGTCGCTTGGGCGAGGTTCATGGCCATGGGCTTTTCCACCAGTACGTGCTTGTCGTGGTTCAGAGCCAGCACCGTGTGCTCGTAGTGCGACGGGTGCAGCGTGCCAATGTACACGACGTCCACGTCGGGGTCTGAGACCAGAGCCTCGTACGAGTCGTAAGCTTGATTGATACCGTGCTCCTTTGCGAATTTCTGGGCGCTGGCCAGCGAACGCGCGGCGCAGGCCTGGAACACGACGTTGTCCAGCGACTTCATGGCGCTGGCGAAGTCCGCCGAGATGCGGCCGCAGCCGAGGAAGCCCCAGCGGAGAGAGGTCGAGTTGGTCATGGCGAGATACTTGTGATCCAAGCGGAAAAGATCAAAATGACGCAAAATGTGAATCGAAGGACAAACTTTGTCATAGCAGATAAAATAAATAGCCCTGAGATTTGTAGGGAAAAAATGGATTGTGGCTTATAACCGTTGGCAAAATCGTGAGTTCCACAACGTAAAACCACTCATCATTCACGTGGGCGACGCGAGTCGTGGCTCACGAGGGATGACATGATTCGTGACAACTTGTCCCGATTGTAGCTCGTCGGACAAGCTGTAATCGGGTCTCATGCTTGAATCAGCACTGGCTGTCGGCTGATCATGCCTACATTTCGTCTCAGCGGAAGATTTTGCTTCAGTCTCTTGGTATGTTTTCATGATCATGTTTCAACGACAACTCTGTGTAACTTAGCAGGAGACTCACACTGCTGCAGTCCAACTGCTGCGAATGCGAACATGCATGCAACTGTTGACTAAGCGTTACTGCTGGTGACCACCGCTTTGACTTCCTGTTCACAATGGAACCATGCATGTATCTGGAAATGGGATTGTCAACAAGCTTATTTGTTCACTTAAACAGTTTTTTAAATTGGGGGCGGTCGAGTTGTTCGGCTTTGCGTGAAAAACTTTTACGCGTTGCCGCGAGGATTTGTCAGCATGATTCAGCTGTGGCTGATCCACAGATCGCCCTTCCTCTTCAACCACGAATCAATCTGTCGGGTTTGTAAGATTTCTTGCCAGCGACCGACCTCGTAAATCGGTATCGCCACTTGTACTTTTGAAGCGACCAGCTTCAACCTTCTCTCCAATTAATCATGACCGATTCACCTCTTCGATGGGGATTTCTTGGCTGCGGTCGAATCTCCCACGCTTTCGCTGGAGCCATCAAGGACTTGGATACCGTGACGTTGCAAGCCTGCGCAGCCAGATCGCTGGCAAACGCGCAAAAGTTCGCCAGCGAACACGGTGAGTGCTATGGATCTTGCTTGTATCTCGTTTAATACTGACTGAGAATATTTTTTTGTATCTGCAGGTGTTGCTCGTACCTACGACTCGTACGAGGCGCTATGCTCAGACCCGGAAGTTGACGTCGTGTACATCGGAACTCTTCACCCGTGGCATTGCGAACACGCAACGTTGGCTCTAAACCATGGCAAGCACGTTCTCGTCGAGAAGCCAATGGCAATGAACGCGAAGCAGTCAGCTTCGCTCATTGCATTGGCTCGAGAGAAGAAACTTTTCCTCATGGAAGGCATGTGGACGCGATTCTTCCCGAGCATTCGGTTCGTTCGTAAACTACTGGATGACAACGAGATTGGGGAAGTTCGCCACGTTCACGCCGAGATCGGGTACCCGTTCCCCAAGGACGAAGCTCGTCTGTGGAATAATGAACTGGGAGGAGGCGGTCTGCTTGACATCGGCATTTACCCTCTTGCCTTTGCGACGATGGTGTTTGGCACGGAGCCTGAGAAGGTCACGTCGGCTGGTACACTCAACGATGGCGGTGTGGACGTTCACAACTCAGTGACGCTGCGTTACAGCGCCAATCGCTTCGCCACGATCGAGTATTCGATGCTGGTTCAACTCAGTGAGACCGTCACGATCTCTGGAACTACTGGCCGTATCCTCATCCACACGCCAGCTCATGTTGCTTCGGAAGTGTCCATCATTCGCAGCTCTGGACCAGGAAAAGAAGAATCGACGACGACGAAGTTTCCGTGGCCCAAGGCAGACGACGGGTACTCTTGTTTCCTCCACGAGGGCGAAGCAGTGACGAATGCTATTCAGTCTAAGCAACTCGAAGCCAAAGAGTACTCGCTCGATGAATCGCTCGGGATCATGACCATTATGGACAAGATCCGCAAGGACATTGACCTTGTTTACCCTGCAGACGCCTAGGAAACATTTTTGCAAGTTGCAATTTCGTAGCGCAATACTTCAACCACAAAACATTCCAAGTGGAAATGATACCTGATTACACGTTTTTTTTTGCCATTGGCTTTGCCACATCATTCTCCTTTCTGTTGCATTTGCTACACTCATGGTGGCGACCAACACTCCTTTGCGCTGGGGCATTCTCGGTTGCGGGCGCATCTCCCACACGTTCGCCAGCAATGCAAAGCCACTGAAAACTGCCATTTTCCACGCTTGTGCAGCACGTTCGCTGGATAAAGCGCAAGAATTTGCCATCAAGCACGGTATGTGTCTAACTATTTTCTTTTTCATTGTGAAAAAAAACTAAAAAAAGTTAACAATTATTATTGTCATGTAGATATTCCTCATGCGTACGACTCGTACGACGCACTTTGCTCCAGCCCAGAGGTAGATGTCGTGTACATCGGCACGATCCACCCGACGCATTGCGAGCTCGCGCAGTTGGCTCTAAGCCACGGCAAGCACGTGCTGGTAGAGAAACCCATGGCCATGAACGCGAAAGAGGCCGAAGCGGTCGTCGCACTAGCGAAGCAGAAGCATCTCTTCTTCATGGAAGGCATGTGGGCGAGATTCTTCCCTGCAATTCGCTATGTGCGCCAAATTATCGACGAAGGCGGCATTGGCGACGTGCATCATGTACACTCAGCCTTCGGAGTGCCGTTCAAAGCTGACAACGACCGCATCTGGAAGAAGGAACTGGGCGGTGGTGGTCTGCTGGATATCGGTATCTACGTGTTGGCAACTGCCACGATGGTGTTCGGATTCGAGCCGGAGAAGATCACATCGGCCGGAAAACTTAACGAGCAAGGGGTGGATGTATACAACTCCATCACACTTGAGTACAGTGGCCAGCGCTTCGCCACGCTGGAGTACTCGACACTCGCGAGGATCAGTGAGACTGTGACGATCAGTGGCACCAAAGGACGGATCTTCATCCACCCGCCAGCGCACGCGACTATGGAGATCTCGGTCGTCACGTACGAGAGCGGCAAGAAAACGTCACGTTTTCCTTGGCCGACGCCGAGTGACCACCACTCGGGCTTCTTGTACGAGGCAGAGGCTGTCACGGAGGCCATCCGAAGCAACCACATTGAGTGCAGCGAGTATTCCCACGCTGAGTCGCTTGGTATCATGAAGATCATGGACAAAATCCGCAACGATCTCCGACTTGTTTACCCAAATGACGAGCCGTAGGAATGGACAGCTCTGGTGCAGTAAGCCCACGTTGATTACTCGTAATCTGCATCAACATGGACAATGCCGTTGCTTGAATACAAGCGAAGGCTTTGCAAAGCTTTACGCGGTGCACTGCGCAGCGGCGAAGACATTGCCAACAACCCACGAGCGCGTCCTATGAACCTCAGCATTTCCATCAACACGTCGATAGCCACGTATGCGCAAACACCTATCGAAGTTGATGCCTCCCAACGAATCGACTTTAACAAGATACAAAGAATCTCAATCTCCGACATCTTAAAAATACTATTTCAAACCTCTCTCTTATTGAAAAGTCCTTATTCCATCAAACAACTGTACCAAAACTCCACAGATATCAAGTATCTCAATATCCACCTCTGCCATTTTTGCACCGCACCACCGGGACTCGCTTCATTCCTAGACTTTAGTCCGGCCGAGACAATGGCGTCCGCTCCTCCGATGAACGTGATCGAGAAGATCTTGTGCCACCACGCAGTAGGCCTCACGCAGCCTTACGTGCGTGTAGGTGACGTGCTGTGCGTCAAGGCGGACTGGACCATTGCCAGCGAGCTGACGTTCCAGGCCATGGACACGATGCACGCGGCCATCGGGCGGCCGCCTCTGCACCGTCCCGACCGCTTCTGGCTGGCTCTGGACCACACTGTGGACCCGCGTGTGAACCACCTGCCCAAGCAGAAGGCGCTCATTGAAATGTCCACCAACTTCGCCAAGACCCACGGGCTCACGGACTTCCAGCCTGCCAACACCACCATCATGCACACCGAGTTCGCTCGCAAGCGCGCGCAACCCGGCCAGATCGTCATTGGCGCTGACAGCCACACGTGCAGTGCCGGCGGCATGGGTGCGTTTGCTGCCGGTCTGGGCGCTGGCGACGTCGTTATGCCGCTGGTCACGGGTCAGACGTGGTTCAAGGTGCCCGAAGTGTGCTACATTGAGTTCGTAGGCGCCCCGAGCTTCGGTATCGGCGGCAAGGACGTGATTCTCCACATTCTCGGAGAGCTGAAACGCAACACAGTCGCCTTTGAGCGTGCCGTGTACTACGGCGGCGCAGGCCTCAAGTACTTGTCAGACGACGCTCGCTTTGCCGTCGCTAACATGAGTACCGAGTTCGGTGGCATTGCCGGCGTGTTCCAGGCTGATACCATCACTCAGCGTGTGCTAGAAGCACGTGAATCTCACTTCGACGAGGCTCTGTTCTTCGAGCCTGACGAGGGCTGCAACTACGCCGCTCACCATGTGATCAACCTGGCAGATGTCAAGCCTTTGATCGCTCTGTACCCGTCGCCCGACAACTGTGTGAGCGTACAGGAGAAACTCGGTATGACGCTGGACGGATGCTTCATTGGCGCCTGCACTACTACCCAGGAAGACTTGATCCTGGGCGCTATGGTGTTGCAACAAGCCATGCTGGAGGGCAAGCGTCCGTCAGCCAACGGCAAACGCCGTGTCACCCCCGGTAGTCTGGAGATCATCGACCGTCTTAAAGAACTGGGTCTTATCCGCATCTACGAAGAAGCAGGCTTTACCGTCGGCGTACCGAGTTGCAGTTTCTGCGTCGGTATTGGTGCCGACGTGGCTGGGGAAGGCGAGGTGTGGCTTTCCAGTCAGAACCGCAACTTCCGGAACCGTATGGGTAAAGGATCAATCGGGAACTTGAGTTCGGCGGCTGTGGTGGCCGCCTCCAGCTTCGATATGGAGGTGGTGGACCCTTTGCCGTACCTGGAGAAGATCAACAAGGAGGACTTTGACCGCTACCGTAACTGGGTGGAGCCGGACTCGTCGACGCCGTCACCGGCCAAGACGACCAAGTCGTACACGGTGACGGAGCCCAAGCCGGTGCTCGCTTCGGGTGACGATGAGGACAGCATCCAGCAGGCCAAGGAACAGGCCGCTGTTGCGGAATTGGAGGCCGCTTTGCCGCCCAAATTCAGCGGCAAAGTGCAGAAATTCGGCGACAATATTGACACAGACGCCGTGATCCCGGCCCAGTTCATGGGTCTTAACAAATCGTCCCCGTTGTGGCCTCCTGAGTGCGAGACAGAGCTGGACGTGCTGGCTGCCAAGTCGTTCGCCTATGTGCGTCCCGAGTTCCCGCAGAAGGTTCGGGAGGGCTTTAACATCATTGTGGCCGGCACGGCGTTCGGCAGTGGTTCGTCTCGTGAAGAGGCCGCGATTTGCCTTAAGGCTGTGGGCGTCCAGGCCGTGATTGCCAAGTCGTTTGCCTACATTTACGCGCGTAACCAGCCGAACAACGCGCTGCTGGGTATTGTCGTGACGGATGAAAAGTTCCATCAACTGGCCGCGGAAGGTGAGGAAGTTACCGTGGATTTGCGCAACCGAGTGGTGAGTGTCAAGGACCACCAGGTGGCCTTCTCGCTGACGCAGCTTGAGGAGGCGTTCCTCAACGGCGGCGGTCTGAAGACGCTCTTCAAGCAGCACAAGGCGGATCTGTTCCGTGCCGCCATGCGTGGCAAGGCCCCCAAGGTCATTTCTTCGGGCGGTGTCGGCTGTGGCGAAGGTTGTGGCGACGCGGCCACTCCGTCGTGGTAGGGCGTGCATTTTGACTAGGTATATGCACAAACGATAAGCAAAAAAGTACAAGCAACATTTTTTCATGATACTTGATGCGAATGTTGCAAGTGTGAACTTGAGGCAAATAATTTGCCAGTTTGCATGAAAAAAAAAGAAGTATTTTTTTTTGCCACGAAAAGACGCGAATGGATATTTGCCATTTCCAAGATAAGCAGACAAAATGTTCCAGGACGTGACGCTGGGGAGTGCGAGCTTTGAGGCGGAGCAGACCAAGACTGTAGTGGAGGTTTACGCCCAAACGCTTGAGATCGAGATGTTCGACTGCGAAGCTCAGACGGAGAACGAGAGCGTCTCGAGCTCCACTCAAACGGGTCAAACGCAACAGCCACCGACCAGAGGCAAAGGCAAAGACGCAACTTCTGATACTCAAGAAGAAACCCAACGTCAAGTGGCGGAGTGTCTGCAAAATGTCGGGAGTCTCATGCTACGAGAAATGGCAAAGAACGGAACAACCAGCTCCTGCTTCAGTGGTACACAACTCTTCTATTTCACTTTGATGAGCATTTTTTTACTGATGCTCACTCGTTCACAGGTTTGGAACGATACTTGGAAGAGTCCGAGGAGAAGGATATCACCAAACTTTTCCGGTTGCAATTCGACTACGACACGTATTTCCAGCCGCAACAAGGCACTGCAACAGCAAATGACACTAAACCTTCATCTTCATTGCGACTGTCGTGCACAGGTGTATCCTGGAATGCAACAGGATCGGTCATCGCGGTAGCTTATGGACGCTTCGATCACTCCGGCTGGTGCAACTATCGCTCCACTCTCTGTCTGTGGAATGTGTTCCAAAGTGACCTCAACCAACAGAAACCTTCACTTGTCCTTGAAACTTCGGTAAGTATAATTGCTTGTGTCAGATTGCAGTTCGCACACTAAAATTGCACCTAACAGAGCGGGCTCATGTGCGTGGCCTTCCACCCTCAAAACCCATCCGTCGTCGCCGCTGGTTCCTTCAACGGAGAAGTCTTCGTGTGGGATATGGAGCCAGCTGAGTATAAATTCTACTCGTCAGGCATCGGGGACTACTTCCACCGCGAACCCGTTACCAAAGTCGCCTGGGTCTACGATATCCAAACCGCCGACTACAACGTAAGGATCTCCTTAATCTCCACTAAATAATCACTTTCCTAATACTTCTTTTGTTGTAGATTGCAAGTGTGAGTGGTGATGGCAAAATCCTCTTCTGGCGAGTCAAAGACAAGCTTGCATTCCCTGTTGAAGGCTACGTCATGCAGTTACCACAAGGTATTGGAGGTTATGGAAGTAAAGGCAGCAGCGACGAAACGCGTTCCCCAGTGATCGGTGGCAAAGCATTGGCCTTCAGTAGTACCGACAAGGCCAGTCGTGCATTCGTCGTTGGCTCGGAAGGTGGAGTTGTCGCTCGATGTTTCGCTAAAGCTGCAGCAAATGTCCGTTCTTCGGACTTTAAAGGCGACAAGAAGTGGACAGCTACAGCCGCACGACTAGTTAGTAAACTCCCAGCCTCGAAGATCCCCGCTGCACGTCGACAGGTGGAGGCATATGCATCCGCTAAACGCAGTAAGGAAGTGACATTGGCTACAGTATACGAAGCCAGACTAGACCCCACGACGATATTCCCAAGTGCAATGGACTTTGTCTTCGAACCTCATACCTCTCCAGTGTACGACGTGAGCTTCTCACCATTCCGGAAGAGTATTTTCTTAACTGCATCGGCAGATGGAACCACGCGTGTTTACTCAACGATGCAGCGTGAATTGCTGCTTTCTTTCGAGGTATCGCCCTCGTCAGCGTATCTTTATGCGGCTGAGTGGTCCCGTACACGCCCCATGGTGTTTGCTGCAGCCAGTGAAGATGGGAACGTCTACGTTTTCGATCTCAAAGTCGACCGTGTCAATCCTGTGCTGGTTCTAAACGGTAAAGACCCGATTACGGGATCAGTGTCAGGGTCTAGTGCTACGTCGAAGACAGGGAGTGGCAACAGCAAAGCGGTGTCTTCAAAGACTACAGTTGCAGCCCCAATGTTTGCTCTCGACTTTAACCCTCGACAACGGAACTTTTTGGCGGCAGGCGACGCTGACGGGGTTGTGCACATTTGGAAACTTTCGTGGCAACTCGCCAACTTCCAAACAGGCGAAGGCGAGTTACTGGAGGCGTTGGAGGCAAGCAGCTAGATTCAAATCTCAACAGAAAAAAATAAAGCTGCCCGTGACAATTTTTTTTGTATCGCGTTTCACGTTGCGCTCTTCGCATTTTTTATTCTCTTTTTCACTTAGATTTCGCGCTTCTGTAAGTTGTTCTTGTCTTTTATTTGCGTCCAAGATCCTTGGCCGTACGGTGGGCATGCAGACTCCACTCCATCTTCGTTTGAGTCACTGAATTAAAAAATGCATTAAAAAGTTAGCAAATACTGACAATGACATCAATTTTGACAATAACGAACCGGGCATCACACGACGCATCTCCTTGAAGGTTTCCTCGGACATGTTGATGTACATGTCTTCCAGGTTGGTCTGCAGATCGTCCTCCGCTTCCTTCATCACGCGCAGAATGGCGTCACCCAGACCACCCGGACGTTGCACCGTGATCTCCTCTTCGATATCCTTGGAATTTTGCAGCTGCAAATTGCCGTTCTCGAAGTAGTGGACGTGTAACTGGATGGTGCCCTTGACCTTAGCTGGATTGGCCGTTAAGTCCACTTCCCATCGGGAATTCCAGCGCCCTCCCCAAAAATTGCGAAGATTGATCCGCTCCGTGCACAAATTCACCACCAGCTTCGTACCCACAATGTACACACCGGCCGTTCCACTTCAACATCAATAATAAAAATTACTTCGAAATAAAAAAAAATCTCATAATAATAATCGAGCTTACCCGTGCATGTACTCGAATTGCAAATACGACTGCAATGTCTTCTGCACTTCCTGACTGCCATAACACAATTATTCGAAGATCATTTATAATAATTATAATAATTTCTTACCGCTCCTTCTCGAAGTCCGTGACTCTGTCCTCGGGAATCTCCGCGACATCTTCCGCCACAATTTGCTGCTTGATGTGGTCGAAGCCAAGCACGCGGTTGCCGATGGGGTCCACGTAGTGAGCAGCGTCCACTTCTCCCTCCTCGCAGATCAAAATCTATTATAAAAACAATGTTTTTTTTTTTTAGGAATCAGGGCTTATAAATGCGGTATTTTCCATTAACAAGACTTGCAAACCTTGTACCTTGTAATCAGCATCGGGGACGTCAACGGGAAGGCAATTCTTGACGTTGTAAGCATGCAGCGCTCCCCTCAGCGCCGCGTCTGGTAGAACATGAGCAGGGACGAGCTTGGCCACATCACGCAGCACCTCGTGGATCTGGCCAGGTGGACTGGCCAGCAAGAACCGCTGCGCAATCTGCAGCTTCTCCTCGTCCGAGGCTTCCTCGTACGCCCACTCCTCCGCCATGATAATCTGCGAATAAAGGTATCAAACCCATGATAATGAATATAACCTTTTCTCTGATTGGTTAATAAAATGTCGTTTGTTTGAGTAAAATGATACCGGACTGCCATAATTAATATGGAAACCCCGAGTGTACGTGTGCTGGTAGTCGGGGACTCTGGCGTGGGGAAGACGGCGTTGTTGCGAGCCATTTGCCGCTTGTATTCGCCCACTCCGACCGGTATTGACAAGCCTTCGGCTTTGTGGACTACTGGGTGTGACGTTCACGTGCTGCTTACGTCTCTGGGCCCCGCGGGTCGCGAAGTTTTCGTGGAATTCCTGGATGTTGGGGGTCATCGCCAGTACGAACTCAGTCGAGGCGCTTTCTACCACGACGTACACGGCGTAATTTTCGTACATGACTTAAGTAACGCGAAGAGTGGAGAACATCTACGTAACTGGAGCAGGGAGTTAAGTGACATGCAGAGACTCAAAGGCTGCGTGGTGCCGTCGACAGGGAAGACCCACGACTTTCCTACGCTGCATGAGTTGCCAAAACTCGTAATTGGCAACAAGAAAGATCTGTTGCCAAGAAATTATAGACCTAAAGTGACGGGGGCAATGGGATCTTTGGAGTTTAGAGCTGTTGCCTGCATCGAATCGGTAAGCAACAAGTTGCCGAGGAATCTGATACTTTTATTCACATTTTTCTTCCTGTTGCAGAGTGCGGAACCGTTGTCAATGGAGCCAAGTGGAGCATTTGATACATTTTTGCAACAAACGTTGGCATTTGCCAATCGAGGAGAAGGGAGCTACAGCAACTACAATAACAGTATGGGCCTACGACAGACCAACAGAGCAGTAGACGCGGACGATGGACGACCTGGATCGGGGTTTAGTGCAGGACTCAGCAGTTTAGCAGCAGCGTTGCCTCCGTTATCGACAGGATCTGGCGGTGCACGCTCTCGATGGTGGTAAAATGAGAAATGTTTCTTCACAAACTAGAGTAACATTAGATACGGCATTGCAACTATGATACGACTTGGCCTTCGACCGCCAAATGCCGTAATTTCTGACATCCCGTGACAAGACGTAGCTGATCCTTTTCCCGCTCAAAATTCGACGGAGCCGCGGCTGTTGAACGATACATTGTCCTCCCGCGTTGACCTGTTCCTGCCGTTGTTCTTGAAATTGCGTTCGCCAGGACCAAAACTCTCGGCGTCTTCAAATTGCCCGTGGGAATAGTCACTGCCAATGGACCGACTGGAGCCGTGAGTAAGGACGGCTCCAAGTTCAGTGGATTTGGCGCTCTCGAACGCTTCAGGGTCGAACGTCTCGTAACTCCGAGCGCTTGCCAAAGAGCCCGACGGCGACGAGAGCGACGCCGGCACCGCCGACGAGTTAGGAGACAACAAACTACCCACCATCAGACCGCGTCGTGCCGAGCCTGAAGCGTACGACTCCTGAGCATTCAAAGCTCTTGGTCTGTGGACATTCAAAGGACCGTCCGACTCGGATACACTAATGCGTGAGTGTACCATGTCATTACTATCCGCTGACCGCAAGGCGTCAATTCGAGCCTGCAGCGTGTCTCCTGACGCGCCGGAACCAGCACTGGCCCGAGCTTCAGAAGGACTGGGCGGTGCTCGCGTGTATCTCGGCACTACAACAGGTGCAGGGATCTGGTCCTGTTCACTATTGGGCGCTCCCAGTCTCACGCCGGTTTTCCTGTTGGCTTTCAAGCTCTTAGACGCCGACGGAGACGTGACCGACATGAACGGAACTCCGTCGGGACCTCCGCCGGTAGGATACGGGTCGTCGTAGCGCATGCTGTCCGGGTAATTGGTGTCGTAGCCGAAGCTGCTGGAGCTGAGCCGGGGTGCATTGGCTTCGTAGCCATGACTCAGTGGACTGCGGCTCTGTGCGTTGCCGGCATTGTACCATTTCGGCGGGGCCTGGTACTGCCGTTCCTGGTTCGGTGCCTGCCCTGCCTCCTGTTGCGCTGGCAGCGGCGGATACGGCTTGGCAAATTGCTGGTTGTGTAGTTGCGACGAATTCTCACGGTAGCCATTGGCCGCCACCTGTGGGCCGAGGTTTTTGCGGTTCGGTGGAGGTGCCAATGGCACGGCCGTGACCTGTTTCGAGTAGCCGTAAGCCGGCGGTTGGTAACCGTTGGCCGATCCACTGGCCTGTTGTGCCTGTTGATAGCGCTGCTGCTGCTCCTGCTCGGCGCGCTCGCGCTCCTGTGTGAGCCGTTGACGAGCCTGTACGGCCGCTATTGCCTCCTCGTGCCCTTTGCGCTTGGCGCGCTGCATGCAGACGCAGCAGCAGACCAGCAGCAAGAGGATGAGCAGCGCCACGCAGCCAATGGCCACCCACCAGATCCAGTCGTCCCAGCCTAACGCACCCTTGAACACCGACTGCCCGCTCGCCATGACTGCGAGAAGAAGGAACTGGAAATGTTACAGAGTCGGAAGTGGCAGGGGAAAAGGAAGAGTGGCTGCCTCCGAAACACCTTCTGTTCCCGCGACATGACGGTGTCAAGGAATGGGTACTTTGGGTGGAAATAGTACTCATTTTGGGGAATTTGTTTTTTTTTCTTCTGAGTCAGAGAGCTTCCGACTTTATTTCGTAATTTTTGAAATTGTTGACTCATAAAAATGGCTTATAGGTACGTTCTTCTTCAGTGTGAACACCCAGTTAGTGAACCAACCGGTCTCGCTGTAACGCCGTCCGGAGCGCGGTGGACCAAGCAACACCATAACAGAGCAGCAGCGGACGAAACCATGCTGCGATAATGCAGCTCTGCTGTTGGGTGTGCCTATTTCACAACCGCCGCCACCATTAGTCGAAGATGGTGCGTCACCAGCCATAATTGCCGAAGAATCACGCGAGAACGGACCGAAATCCATTCGCGGATCCAGCGAAAAGAAGAACCTAGCTGCACCGATATGGAATTCACTAAACAAACGTGTGGCTCGCTGTGCTTGACAAGGCAATCGGCCCCATAGTCACTTCAGAAACTATTCGACATCATGGCCTCGCACTTAGTGGAGTTCTTCACGACCTTTGGCAATTTTTCCTTCTGTGGAAAAGATCCGCTTGTCGATCATTGACACAAATGAGTGACAAGGAAGACGACCCAGTGCTAGCCTTCTTGCTGGGCTCCATGCCGTCGTTGGACGCAATCGAGCACAACACTGTTGTATCGAGAGATGAGGCTGCGGCTGAAGACGATCTTCCAGCGCTGGAGCCCGCTTCCGACAGCGACGTGGAGCCACACTCCGACGTCAGTGCAACAGCAGAGGGCAGCAACAACAGCGACTGGGACGCCACCACCTCGTGCGAGTCGGAAGATGACGGCAATCTTGTAGACATTCGGCATCGGGAGGCGACCGACCAAGAGATTTGCACGAAAGATCCGGAATTGAAACGCAGCCTGGAAGACCAGAACAATCGCATTGCGGAGGCGGAGCACGAGGACGACTGCACTGATCCAGCAACTGTAGATTCGGGTGATGAGGTCCAACAGGAAGAGAAAAGAGTACCTAAGGCAACGAAGAGCTCTAAACCCGTGGCTAAGTCAAATCGAGCGGTGGTAAAGAGCAAACGGTTGGTGACGGAGACCAAGGACCGAGATGGTAGCGATCCGGTGTTGGAAGAGTTATTCTTTGTGGGCTGCGTTGCCACTGTGTTGGTCGCGTACCTTGTTGCATGTGTTTACAGTTTCTTCCATCCGTTAGTGTTCCCTTTACCGGACTACGAGGAGCTGTACTCCGCATACGACATCTCGAATGTTTCCGTTCGTATCGTGAACCCCGTGGAGAACTCTTTTATCACTCCGCAAGGGGTTTCATTCGAGTGGCAACTTGTCAATTTTCCAACCGAGGCGTTACATTTGTATGGAGCGGAGGTATTTCGCTACCAAGTATCTCTGGATGACGAAATTATCACGTCGGAAATCGGATTTCTTGCACTTCAGGACGATGACAATGGTGCGGAGGCAATCAATCGTACTGTACACTTTCCCATTCCACTAAGAAAATTTACTCGCGAGGATGACGAGAACGAGTTGTTTAAACTCGATCTTGAAGTTACTATACCGATTCCTGGTTTAATCGAAGAACTCAAGACATACAAGCAAGATGCATACGTTCGAAAGCCACCAGCTCCCTCTCGTGAGGATGGAGTGCACATAACGCTTACGTCACCTGTGAACGGTGCTGTCTTCGAGCAGCATCAGTCTATTATACTCGAGTACAGCGCTGTGAATGTACAAAAGTTGGTCGTGCACGTTGACGGTAAAGTGTATCTGGAGAAGACCTACGTGGACGATGGCAATATGTTATTCCGTGGACTGGGCGTGGGGCCCCACAAGTTCGAAGTGCAAGCCGTGAACGACCGGAATGAGGTTGCAGCGTCTAGCACAGTGCATGTAGAGATAATTTGAGCGCTTACAGGATGAATAGCGCTAGGGAAACCTGGATGGAGTTAGTGTACCCAAATATACGGAACTTACAATAATCCCACCGTAACGGGGAAAAGGGTACTGTATTTTAGCGCTTCGTTACGGTGCCTCTAGCCTCATCGAGCACTCTTACTGCCAGACCTTCTTAGGCTTCCAGTGGAAGTTCTCATACAGACGCAGCAGGTTGCGCTCGAGCATAGCGACCGTGACCTTGCCCACAAGCGGCACGTATTGGACGCCCTTGATCTTGAGCAGCTCAGCCTCGTCCACGTTCTTGAAGGACGCGACATTGATGATGACGGTGTTTTCGCTCACCCACTCAAGCGGCAGCTTGTAGCTCTTGACCGGGACGCCGGTAATGATGACACGGGACTTCTTGCACGCCGTCTCCTGCGTCTCCTCGCTCGGGATGAGCTTGCCGCGACGGAACAGGTACAGCGAGTCAATGTCAGCGCTGTACACGTCGGCGCCGTCATTCGCCAGCATAGCAGCCAACGGGCGGCCGACAATGTCACTACGGTTAATAACCGTGATGTTAACACCAGCCAGGTGGTCGCCAGCAGGCTTGGTCTTGTCGTAAATGCCAAGGTGTTCGAGGATCTTGACAATAGCCAAGGGCGTGCACGGCAACACGCACTTTTGCGTCTTCTCATCGTCTACGTAGCGGATGTTGCGGTACAAGTTGCCGCGGTAGAATTGGCACAGTCCTTCCACGTCCTTCTTGATGCTGATGCTGTCGCGCAAAAAGTCGTCCATGGTACCACCGAAGAAGCTCGGGAAGGCACCGAAGCACGGGTAGTACACGAGGATACCGTGCACGTCCGGGTCGTTGTTGGCCTTCTCCAGAGCCTCCAGCAACTCGTCCTTGGGCACCTCACGCAGCTCGTAGCGGATGCCGTCGCGCGCACAGGCCTTGCCTGTCCACTCGGCGTACTTCTTGGCGGCAGGGTCGCCGTGAGCCAGCAAACCCACGAGCTTGGGACCCACGCCGCCCATGTCCTGCTCAATGTACTGGCGCACGGCCAAGCTGAAGGGCTCGGCGATGGTCGCAGCGTTCACTTTCACTCCGGCGGTGTCGGTCATCTTGATGTTTGTGGTAGACGTCGGTTTGACGGATGGCTTCAAGTCGGCTGGCCGCCAACCAAAGGTCACGATGGTACCATTTTGGTGGTACCAAAGGTCACGGTGGTACCATTATGGTGGTACTTTAAATGGTACAATGTGCCATGACTATGAAAGCGATGATTGGCTGGTTTTCCTAGCTTCAATATTAGGTTTGCAGAACTTTATATTTCGGAGAAGAAGTAGTTGCTGTTCGGGAGAGCGAAGAAAGCTGTATTTTTTTGTATATAAATTAAAGAAGTTTGTGTACGGTTTTAAATGAAAATTGAGAAAATATGCTTGATCTGCGCTCGTCTTGTGTTGGTGGTCAAGCCGGGAGCGCATTCAGAAGCAATCGAGGGGCTTCGATATTCTTCGTGAGCTATTATAGATGGGCGTGGGGCTGGGAGGCGAGCATCTTGTTGTTGCTGGTCGACCTAACGTCTCCAGCCCATTCCTGTAATTGCCACAAAACCGTGTCGTTAAACTCTCTCTCTCTCTCTCTCTCTCTCTCTCTCTCTCTCTCTCTCTCTCAGCAACATTAAATTAATAGTGCAGCTTTGTTTACCGGGACGATGGGACTGAGGTCCGTCTCCCAGCTGACGATGTTGTGCACGGCGGGGATCATGTAGCCGAATACAAACACGAGCGCGCATGTGATCTGGCCTAGCACCACGTCCCCGAGTTCCATGGACGTGTGTGGCTTGTACAGCATTACCTTCGAGTAGTGCTTTCTTTTCCGAGCCTTGTTGGTCTTGATGAAAATTGGTAACTGAGGCTACGCCCTTATTGAAGTTTATCGCGGGCGTTCTTTTGCAGTCGCGAGTGTCCCGCAACATAGAGGCTACTTTGCGGGACGTTCGACGCCACATCTGTGTAACACGGCGGACATCAACTTCAGCTTGCGCAGATTGATGAGATATTGAGAAAGCTTTTTCCCCTACACAACACGATCGTTGGCGGTTGATACTGCTGCAAAGACACCATGGGGGTGCGATTTATGATTGCGTCGCCTGCACTTTGAGTTTAATGGTGGTTCCATAGCCTGCGTGTGGCGTGACGCCATTGAGTAGGCCTGACGCGACAAAGATTCTTCTTCAACGTGCGCCGATTGCTTTAGTTTGTCATTTTTTGTTAGGTGCATATGAATATTCAGTATTGAAGCTGTTGGTTTTCGCTTTTGCTACACCCTGCGTTCGTACGTTGTAGAATAAAATTGTTAGGTGAAAGTGTTGACGAAACAGAATGGGATAAACACGATCGTGGATTGCTACGGGTGCGACGAGGCCAGACACGTCGCATTGGATCCATCTCGCAGATCGACACACAGTCTGTCAATTGATGAGCAACTTACAATCCTCACTTCAAGTCACTGGTATGGATACTATCGGTCGTGAATCGAGAAATATAACCTATATGGTCTTTTAGATCGTTTAGGAATGGCTGTTTGCGTTCATGCAAAGCACGTTACACAGTATACCTTACCGTGAAAACATCACCGGCCAATGATATTGTAGCCCACGAGACGGCACCGCCACTGGCCAACCACCGCTAAAACGAATTCCCGCCAACGTGGTGGCGCCAGGACCCGGTCTTTGCTGTACGTTGAAGAAGGTCCTTTGTCTCATCTTGCCAACGCTATAGCGCATACCGCCACTATACAAGTAATACCAGCTACAGGAATGATCCAGCATGGATCGAAACCTACACCTGTGTCGATGGTGTTGCCGCATCATCACCAAGATCATGTTGATGTTGACTGTACCACGTGGCCTACCCTTTCAATTTGAACGCGAGTGACTTGCTGGTCTTCAACTTTGTTTTTTTTTCCACTTGTTTCAGAACGCAAGAGCTTTTTCGCAAGCTGAAGTTGCTGTTAATCACTTCTATGTTGCAGGACGGTGCAAGTTGGCAAAATGGCTGCCTTCACGACTCAATTTCCAATTTGCGCCATTCAGACCAAGACGAAGAAGGCCAAGAAGAGAAAATACCAAGAGAATGCTGTACAAGTCACACACTCCGATGGAGTTGGGAGATACCGTTCTGGGTCAGATCACCTTTGCGCTCGTGTTCGTGATCGACCATATGATTCCAGCCGTCCACAAAGTTCTCAGCTGGGAAACTGAGGATGTCGATTTGGGTCCGATCATTCCGGTATGTAGATCAATAATAGAACTAATACGTAGGAAATGCATAGCCCTGAAAGTATTTTTTTTTAAATCAACCAGGAATGGAGTGGCACCGCTCTGCCAACCGCAAGCAGAAGCAAATTGCTTACAATGCAACCTCCGGCTGATAAGGCCTAGTTATCGGGAGGCTCATCCAGCTCTGCCATTGCTCAGCAACCTGCTACTTTCCTACTCCGATTGTGCAAGCAACGCAAGCGCAGCAATCAACCAGTTGTCTCGGTTGTATTCAACTACGTCTCCTTTAATTTATGAACAAGTAACATTTTATAGTCCAGGTTGCAGTCTTGTTGAAATCTAAGCACTAATTACTCCAGCAAAGTTAGATGGTACTACATATCCAGTATCTGTTGTTAATAAGGCTGTTTCGTGCATTGGTCCCAGCGTGGTCGAATTTGTTAAGTAAAACTTAATTCTGGGCACTATTGGTTTGATGTATGCACGAATGTCACCACAGATTACGATGCATGTATTTTAATCGACAAAATGAGTAATCCAATACAATTGCATTGTGAGTTCTACTCAAAATTTCCATGGGCGGTTCTTTGAATGAACCTCCACCAAATCGCCCAGCGTATACAATTCCGTATACTGACCCGCTTAAGTACGAAATAAGATCATGACATGTGGACGTGCGGGTCTACTAATGACTTGGGTTTGTATGTGGACGATTGATCTTCCGCTCCTCAAACAGACCCAAACCGGCAAATTTGGACGGAAATCACAATATTTACCTAGCCAGGGTATTGCGTTTTTACGCTTGATCTCGCTTCATTTGGCAATCAATCTGAAAAAGCTCAATCCGATGAAGTAATTCTTTTTTTCTGCCAGACACCAAGATCGATGTTGATATTATATCCGTGTCTCTCATTGCGTCGTGTTCGATTCGAGCTTTGGTGAAGCCTAGGGCACTCACGCAGCATTCCATCAACAGGCCGAACCTTTTGATTCCATGCAGACCGACTTACCTGAAGTAGCTTTGTTGCCTCTAGCCACCAAAACGTAAGGACTCGTCGTAATTTTTATAATAATATGGATACGAGGTTGTTTAAACCGCAGCAAGGCTGAACTCGCTTGAGCACGGTGCAGCAGCGATCACAACTGACGCCTTTGTACTTGCCGCACTTTAAGATACGGAATTCGCGCTATTACTGGCCAAGAGGTCTCCCAATCCACACTTGTTGTGTCACAATTGAATGTAGCAGGTTGAGCATAGCCACTAGAAGCAGCGCCTCTGCCTGGCGGCATGGGTTTCCAATATCCGATACAGAACAAAAATTTTAAAAAATTGCCGGGAAATATTCTACTTGAGATGATTACACTTAAATTTCAATCTATGATAGTATTGAACTAGACGAGTACCGCCCGCAAAGCGGGCGGTACTCGTCTAGTTGGTCCCAACCCGTGGAGCTCGCTAAATTGACCAATAGGGATGTCGCAGAAAAGCGTGACCGTTAGTGGGCTATATTTGTAATTTACTTATTCCTGGACTCATTCGAGAAGGTAGGGGTAGGTTACACGATGGGTGATATTGCATGCAAAAGAGTGGTGTAGCCAAGGCAAACCCTTAGGTTTATGCGCTGAGACGTTGAACACACACACGGACGGACACACAGACAGATACCGGACTCGCCTACTGTTGGTAGACTAGCCGAGTGCCGCCCACTTTGCGGGCGGATGGGCATGGTTGGTCCCAACCCGTGGAGCTCGCTGTTCCAGCTCGCCCCACTACTACGCAAAGCCCACCTTCGCTTCGCTCGGCAGGGGTTGGAGCCTTGCTACATGTAGAGTCCCAATCTGT